GACCAATTTTGGGGCGAGTCAGCTTTTAGGTGCCAGAAATAGCTTTTCTGGGACGCAATTAAATGGCGTCCGTTGATAATTGGTTCTGACTACAAGCAAAGGCAAGTGAATCAGTGACAACTGACAATCCTTTCGTGAGTTCTGATCGAACTGGATCAGGAAGCCAGGACGAGCTAGGACGTCGATCAGACCTATAGGTAAGTAGGATGGTAGTGATTTATTTTTGTTGTGTTGTGTTGTGTCACTGAAATGTGGTGATGCGTTGTCCCGTGTCCGAAATCTGAAAGGTCCGAAGTTTGAAAGGTTCCAGAGTCCGAAATTCGAAAGGTCAGTTTCTTAACATCCTAGCCTCATTCCCAATTTGTTTAGGCCTAAAGAGGTGATGAGAAAACGTCAAAAAGTACCTTCTGTTACAAGATTATTTGTAAAAAAAAAAAATGGTGAGAGCTAGACATAGCGTAGGTGACAACTTTTGAATTTTATTCACCTCTGGCACCCGGCTACGGGCGAGCTCGGCTTACGGACAATCCCAAATGGGATAAAGTTTCCCGTCCAGTCCGGATCAGGGGGAATTGCGGCCTGGAGGAGGATTTGACTTTCCCGAGGATATTTTGAATACAGAAGTTCTTTATGAAACATACAACATGCATTTTATATTATTTTAACGGTCAAAACAGCGGCCGATGTCGGTCCGACGTCGGCCCGACATCGGCTGGACCTCAGCAATCGCTGGACCTCGGCTGGACGTCGGTACATGCGGGCGTACCCGACATCAAGCCGACGTCGTGCCGAGGTCGGACAGACGTCGGCATGTTTACTGGGATTATAGTTCATTCGATGTGCCTTGACGAGAGGAACACGATGCCGGTAAAAGTAAGCTCGTGCAATGCTTGAGTGAAAAGTTATGGCAGTAAAACTGTTTTCAAGAAAAAATCGGCTATTTTGACAGTTTCTGCCCCCTGCAGGCAAAACCGTTGACGCTAGGTCAACTCTGAGTGAGTTATTCAGAAAGGCCGTTAATAGGGTTATCGAATGCACTTTTCCGCGGCGCTGTAGCTCTATTGGTTCCCGAGTTATGCGTTGGCTTCTTGGAAATTGTCGACATTTGACCTGAAAATCGGCGAAATTTTGCCTTCAATGACCTTTGGAGATCTGACCAAAAAAGTGACCGAGTTAATTTCGTCATTATTTTCAGCGCTCTTTCGAACGCCGCCTTCTGCGTATCGCTACGTGGCCCAGGAGCCGAGTTAGATGGGGGATGTTCAAACACCCCTCCCCCCAGCAGGGCGTGAAAATCCAGGACCCCAGCGGGGCGCGGGTTAAAAATGGCAAAATCAGCATTGACGATAAGCCAGGTCTTTTCGCCAACTGAGCACACCAACTCCTGATAAGGTGGAGAGAGTGGACAATCCGATCAGGAACAGCCGCCGAATGTTGCGTGATTTGGCTGAGCGAGTGGGCTACTTGACTGGAACAATCGTGAATATTGTCAACCAGCTAATCAGAATCGCCATACACCACGACAATGCCCGGCCACCCACGGCCCACGCCCCGTGCCAGGAGATTGCGAGACTGGGATGGACAATCATGTCCCAGCCGCCCTACAGTCTGGACCTCGCCCCATCATATTTTCATCTGTTTGGTCCCTTGAAGGATGAGCTTCGTGGCCACCACTTCCAGACCGATGCTGAGGTGAAGGGCGCCGTGAGACAGTGGGCGAAGAAGACAGAGAGCCCGTTTTTCCGAACGGGATTTTGGTGTTAGTGTGAGCGCTGGAAAAAGTGTGTTCAGGCTCATGGTTACTGGTTTGACGTGTACACCGTCAAGAGAAATGTTACACCATAAACATGTCAAAATTTGAAGGTACTGGGTAAAAAAAAAGTTATGACCAATTGTCTATTAGGTACTCATTGAACAACCTAATATATTTTGTACATAAAGTTGCTCTTATCAATCTTTTAAAGTTTCAAAGCGATCGGTCACTCGGTGTAGCTTTGGCAGACATTCACACTTTTTATGTAGTGATGTCACTTGACCTGACCTGGTGACCTGACCTAAACCCGGCCGGGCCTGAGGGTAATCCCAACCACCGCAGCCCAGGGGGGCGTTTTTCGCCCTCCCCCTGTCTAACTCTGTAATTTAGGGAGCTACGGAAACAAAAGCGATACCAAACGAAATATCCGTACGAGACGATTCTAAAGCACCTAAAAATTTTGACCTCGGTCAATTTTCAAGGTCAGAACTCAGAAGTCGAGGTCAAAGGCAAAAACCGACACATATGTAGTGATCTCAAATTAAGCGTTCTATGAGGACGGCAGGATGCATAAAACCGGCAAAATTGGGTGTCAAACAAAAGAAGAGAATCTGAGGATTCCGAAAATGTGCTTAAATTCAGAGATCAAGGTCAAGGTCATGCTCAAAATTGATCTCAAACTTAGCACGTTTTCGTACATCCTGCGTGCTAACTTCCAAGATGTTTTGAAATGTTTTCATGCTTATCAGGTCCCTATTTGTGGTTCATCTTACGATACAAGGCTGCTCAAAGGTCAAGGTCACAGAAGAGTATCCTTGCTAGAGGTTATTTCACTGATTGAAGTTAGTAATAATAAAAAAGACAGTTTTGCCATCCGGATGCTCTAAATGAAGGCTTAGAGGAAAATAGATACCAGATTCGTGATCAGCGGGTACGAATCCATCATAAACGGCCTTTCATGTGTCAAGGTCAACCAAAGGTCATTCGAGGTCACATGAGGTCAGCAGCATGAAAACTGACCTCTTCCAAACAAAATATACATATCATTCGACGCGGCTTGACAAGGCGAATTCAATGGTACCACTGCTGTAGCTCTATGACCATTTTTGTCGAAGTTATATGCGAAAAACTAAAACCACATCTCGAGGTCGTTTACCTGACCTCTGACCTCAGGTCACCGAAACTATTTTTCTATTTTTCTCTAGGTCAAACGCTACACAACCGTGCCCGTAATTTGTCTTTATCTCCAAAACTATATTTTAGCAGCTATGTGAAGTTCGCGTCTGTGACGCCGAGGTTTGACGTGCAGGGGTCTAGCAAAATCGACCCTGGGACGTCATCAAGGGAGTAAGGTCCAATTTTTTTACTTCAGAAGATGTCAAATTGATGGGAGAAAAGGTACTGAAAGTTTCGCTTTCTTTGGCGCTCGGGAGCTATCGCAAATATTCGCCCGGGGGGGGGGAGGGACAAAAACGCCCCCGGGCCCGCGAGTGCTAAGTGACCTGGGCCTGAAATTTTCACAACATATGTAGAAAAGATGTATAATAAGGTGTGCCAAAAACGGCGCGCCACCATTTTTGAGATATTCGCGAAAAAAACGCAGGGTCAACCGCAGGTTCAAACAACTCCCCCCCCCGCCCAGCAGGGCGCGGGCTAAAGACGATAATGTGGCTTGCCTAAGCCAATGTTTGATGACGTATATCTCGGAAACGTGACGTCATATCATCGACAAAAAATTTCTCCCTTTTTCACATATAGATGAGAACTTTCATAGAGTTTCGCAAAAATCGGAGGAGGTGAGGTTCAAAATGGTCATTTTTGTTGCACAATTTTACTGCAGCATTATAACATTTTTTTTTAGCTTTATCGGTGTTTATTTTCCGAATACACGGTGTGCCGAGCGACACGAACACATCCCACGTGACACGATGACACGACGCGGCGTGGCGCGTACATCACAACAGCATGGAGGAACTCCTTCCTCCATGACAACAGCCTGGCCGCCGCTCGGCACTAGCTACCGACCTGGGAATGTATATGGGGTCGCCCGCCGGCCGAATACCACAGACTCCCGGAGTCGCCGGGACGCGGCGACAGCACGCAAATCATGACAACTAAGTATGGACCCTGAACCAAGACGAGAGCACTGCTATGGGCTCTAAAAACAATGCATAAATGCATTAAATAATCCATAGCAGAGCAAACAAAACAATAACAAAATAACTGCGCCATGATTCCAGTCATATCTTTTTTTTAATTTTTTTTACACGTGACCGCAACAAAACGAAATACGCGGAACGCAAAAACAAGAGCAGCTCACAATGAAAACGAAATAGCAGTGAATGGAACATAATGACAAAAAAGAGCGTTTGAAAGTAGAGGTAAAGCGGAAGGACCGAACAGGCGGGTCCCCGGCGGCAGCGGCGGCAGCGGCGGCAGCTGCAGCAGCCGATCACCCGCCAGCGCCAGCGGCAGCGGCAGCGACAGCCGGGCGGGCGCCGCGCTCACCCCTCAATATCGGAATAGTTAATGGCCGTCTCCAGACCGGCGCGTGGGCCAGCCGGCGCACGCCCCCGCAGCCAGCCCGCCGCCAGCATCATCTTGGGGAACGCTGAAAGATAGAGGACTGGATTCGATTCTATAGCATTATAACAATATTACGATGAATCGTGCCTACAATGTTGCAATAAACATATTGCTATCCATCCCCCCATTTGAAATTCTGATAATCCACAAAAGAAAACGAAGTAGAAGTTCTCTAGGTACTAAGAAATCCTTCAACCCCTTGCGAGAGATTCCCTTACACTGTTACACTGCGGATTGGCGGTATTTTGAGACATTGGAGAGGGCTTACTTATGACCTCATAGGTCAGTGATCTGACCTTACCTTATGTCTATGTCTATGTCTACCTACACCTGAAAACGCAATTGGTGCCACAATATCTGGCTTTAATCAGAGGTCAGGTATGTCAGTTTTTAGTGGCTCTATGGCCAACGCGTTCCGAGCGATCGCGAGAAGTGGACAGGCCTCCTCCCGCCTCCCCGCCTCCTCCCGCCTCCCCGCCTCCTCCCGCCTCCCCGCCTCCCCGCCTCCCCGCCTCCCCGCCTCCTCCCGCCTCCCGCCTCCCCACCTCCTCCCGCCTCCCCGCCTCCTCCCGCCTCCCCGCCTCCCCGTCGACAACGGACCGAGTGCTCGCAGACTTGTGCGAATTAACGGAAATATAAAAACAGAAAAACAACGACACAGTTCCACTGTTGATGGTATTAATTTATTGATTACCAAATCAGCCTACATGTCAGTGTCCAGTGGCGCGCCGCGCGGTGTGGCAAACTTGTCTCAATAACAGCACATAGACGGACTGCCGTGCGGCGCTGCTCGGCTGGCGGTACGCGTTCTGTGGCTCTGTCTCAACAGGACTCTCTCATCTCTGTGTTCTGTATCAGCAGGACGCTGGACGCTCTGCTGACGTCTGACGGCGCTGCTCTGATGACGTCAGAGGCCGGATCCCTCAGAAGATCTCCTTACGGAAGCGGAGGCCGGGCAGCACCTTGTGAATGCCGTACCGGAATGGGTACGGCCCGTACTGGTAGTCGGTCTGGTACGCGGGCGACTGGTACCCGTACCCGTACCCGGCGCCGTACCTGTACCCGGCGCCGTAGCCGTAGCCGGGCGGGTAGACGCCGCTGTACAAACTGAGGACACGCAGGGGCAGTACAGTCAGTCGCGGCACGGCGTATGCCAACCGGCATCCGCTCCTGCCGATGGGCGGAAACATATTGGCAGCAGCCGACCACAGGAGGGCGCACACGAGTACCGCAGGAGGGCTACACGGCGGGCTACACGGCACGGCGGAGACTGCAGCCGCCCTCCGACTCTCTCTCCCTCCCTTCCTCCCTCCGAACATCCCCATCCAACCCCTGCAGCCGGTCACTGGGTTCGGTGACTCCCATCCCCCAGCCGGTCACTGGGCTCGGTGACTCTCAAGCTCGGCAGGCCTCCCTCGGTCGGCGTAGACGGTACCGCCGCGCCGTGTATCTGTATCTGTATCTGTATCTGTATTTTCGAAAGTACATCCAGTCCATATACACTGGTTTTTCATGACTCGAGTCACATTGGGCTGAGGGTAGGTTCACACAATCGCAAACAAGCTTCCCATCCACTCTGACTCTAATCCACCATCATTCGACAGCAGATCTGTTGCCTCTACCCACTAGATGGCCGCGGAGGCGCAGGCCGTGTATCGTGTACTCTCCCGAGAGCCTGACCGAGTGACGGCCCGCCAGCCACGGCGGCTGTGTCCGCAGCGCGCGCTTACCGGAAGGGTCCGACGCCGAGGTCCACAGACTTGTGCACCAGCGACGGCTGGGTGTCGAGGTCGGCGGCCGGCTCCGGCCGGCCGGCGGTCAGTGTCATCAGCGCAGCCAGCACCGCCTGCCGCGCACCGGGGCAGCGGTCAGCGACACACCGGGGCAGGTCAGCGACACACCGGGGCAGCCGTCAGCGTCACACCGGGGCAGGGCAGCGACACACCGGGGCAGGGCAGCGACACACCGGGGCAGCCGTCAGCGACACACCGGGGCAGGGCAGCGACACACCGGGGCAGGGCAGCGACACACCGGGGCAGGGCAGCGACACACCGGGGCAGGTCAGCGACACACCGGGGCAGGGCAGCGACACACCGGGGCAGGGCAGCGACACACCGGGGCAGCCGTCAGCGGTCAGGTCACAGAGGGCAGCCGTCAGCGTCACACCGGGGCAGGGCAGCGACACACCGGGGCAGCCGTCAGCGACACACCGGGGCAGGGCAGCGACACACCGGGGCAAGGCAGCGACACACCGGGGCAGGGCAGCAACACACCGGGGCAGGGCAGCGACACACCGGGGCAGGGCAGCGACACACCGGGGCAGGGCAGCGACACACCGGGGCAGGGCAGCGAAACACCGGGGCAGCCGTCAGCGACACACCGGGGCAGGGCAGCGACACACCGGGGCAGGGCAGCGACACACCGGGGCAGGGCAGCGACACACCGGGGCAGGGCAGCGACACACCGGGGCAGGGCAGCGACACACCGGGGCAGCCGTCAGCGACACACCGGGGCAAGGCAGCGACACACCGGGGCAGCCGTCAGCGGTCAGGTCACGGAGGTCAGCGACGCACCGGGGCAGCCGTCAGCGGTCAGGTCACAGAGGTAGCCGTCAGCCGTCAGGTCACGGAGGTCAGCGACACACCAGGGCAGCCGTCAGCGGTCAGGTCACAGAGGGCAGCCGTCAGCGGTCCGGTCACAGAGGGTAGCGAATAGCGATTACGGTGCAGTGATGAGGAGCAAATGTGTTATATGAAAAGACAAGGCATGTGCGTCTCAATTATCTTACAGTATTAAACATGCGAGCAGATTCGCGGAGCACGACGCTCTCACTGACACCTTCGGGAGGCGTTTGTGGAGAGCTACACGCTGCAGTGTATTAGCTGCGCCGGCGGCTACTCACGTATTTCATCATGGCTGCGACTGGAGAGTGCTGTCCTGCTGCTGCTGGCCCTGGCAGGGGTACCGGTGTCTGGGCGGGTTCTCCCAGCAGCACACATTATATACCGACCCGCAATCAGTGGCGCACTCAGGCACATATATCACGGGGGGCGGGGTATTCCACTGGTCATGGAATATGACAACATTGAGCTTTGGAAAATTTCTACCGAAATGTCTACCTCTTTAAAGCCCAAACCATGGCCGCTGCCGCCGACCAGACCGGCCGCGGCCCTGCCGAGGTGGCCCTGCAGCGGGGCCACGGTGCGGCGGCCCCACTCCCGGCCTGGGTGCGCCGCTGGCCTCCCCGCGGCCCTTTGTGCCGATTGTGCCGATACCCGCCTGGACCGCGGACTGGCCGTAAACACCTGGCAGCCGCCGCCTCTTCTGACCACCGCGCCGGCGCCCACCCACTGCAGCCGCCTCCCACCACCGGCGCCCACCACCCACTGCAGCCGCCTCCCACCGGCGCGCACCCACTGCAGCCGGCTACCACCGGCGCCCACCCACTCCAGCCGGCGCCCACCCACTGCAGCGACTCCCACCAGCGCCCACCCACTGCAGCGACTCCCACCACCGGCGCGCACCCACTGCAGCGACTCCCACCACCGGCGCGCACCACCCACTGCAGCGCCTCCCACTGGCGCGCACCCACTGCAGCGCCTCCCACCGGCGCCCACCCACTGCGGCGACTCACACCGGCGCGCCCGTCTGTTCGGTTCGCTAATTTGTTGGGAGCAGGCTCTTTCGGCCTAAAAGGGCTACTGCAGTGATATGCAATACTATAGGATGGGGTGGAGCCATTGGAACGAGTGATCCGCCGGCGCACAATCGGCCATTTCGCATACAATAAAGGAAATGGTAACCGGACAAAAGATCGTAAAGCAGAAGATCGTATGGCAGAAGATCGTAGGCAGTTGATCGTATGCAAAATATCGTAATGGATAAAGATCGTACGACATAATGCTCGTATGGACAAAAGATCGTATTCGCTAAAGATCGTCAAGGAAAATGATCGTATGTAAAAAAGTCGTAATGGATAAAGATCGTACGACATAATGATCGTATGGACAAAAGATCGTATTCGCTAAAGATCGTCAAGGAAAATGATCGTATGCCAAAAAGTCGTAATGGATAAAGATCGTACGACATAATGCTCGTATGGACAAAAGATCGTATTCGCTAAAGATCGTCAAGGAAAATGATCGTACGCCAAATGATCGTATGAGATAAAGATCGTACAGTCAAAATATGATATTCACATGGCAGGCACCGTTCCGTGCTTCTATCCTCAGGATACTGAAATCCTTCTCCTCCACGCCGCAACCTCCCTCCGCCGCCCTCCGGGCTGGACAGGCAACTTTATCTCATGCGGGCTGCTCCCTTGGAGCGGCACCGCTGCTCCCGAGGGAGCGCATCTCGTAGCCGGGTGCAGTGAGTGCGTTGGGGCTGGGTGGCCTGTCCTCTGGACGGGCTCAGCCCCGGCGACTCACTATAGGGTGCCTGCCCAGACCAATGTCTCCCCCTATATCCTATCATCCTCCCGGCTCTGAAATGGTCTCATTGGACCGAAAGGGCCTAACCCAACAAAACAAAACAAACAAACAATCACATGGCACATGGTGCAGCCCAACTCCAGCGCATACAAAGCTTATCAATTTCTATGTTCGCTTAGTAAGTGGCCGTCGTAAGCTCGACCATACATTGATGTTATTTCAGAGCTTAGATGGCTCAATGACACCTAAAAGCAACGCGTTGTATATGTGCCGAATAAATGAATGTATGTGCTGCCGTTTTCTTGTACCTATTTGAAGTGAATACAACTAAACCCATGTTCCTCCCCCCCCCCCCCCACCGCCTGGAAGGTTAAAATGTTGCTTAAGCGGCTGAAGTAAACGGCGTTAAAAATACTTTTTCCTTCGCACTGTTACATTTTCATGTAGAATCGTCATCGCTTTACGAGTCATCAACAGATGTTTATCGCATTATCACTATCGAAGTCGCAATCCTCCTAGTTATAGGATCCTAGTTTCAATCCAATCCTAGTTATAGGAGTCATTGTTATCGAAGGCCGGTTAAAGATGTCAATTGTCCATTATTGGTAATAACCACAAACAACTTGTATGCGATCATTTCTTTTGACAAAATGCAAAATACAAGCCGTTCAAACGACAAACACCCGGCCAGTTTCCCCGATAGCCTGCCTGCATCCTAACGAAAGCTCAATGCCCGCGGCCCGCAGACCATATCATGCCACTCTGTTCGCTCTGGCAGCTTCTAGTTCTCTGCTCATACTTCCAGCCGTTATATTGAAAAGACTTCTAAAAAGACTCCTAACGAAAGCTCAATGCCCGCGGCCCGCAGACCATATCATGCCACTCTGTTCGCTCTGGCAGCTTCTAGTTCTCTGCTCATACTTCCAGCCGTTATATTGAAAAGACTTCGCTTCGCTCGCTGCGCTCGCTCGCTCGTAACAACACTATTCTATACGATTATTTACTTTACGAACGTAACGTTACGATCTTTTGTCGAGCGATCTTTTACATCATATGATCTTTATCTTACGATCATTTTCCTACGATCTTTTTTGTACGATCCATTGCTTTACGATCTTTTGCTTACGATCCTTGGTCGTACGATCTTTTGCGACATACGATATTTATCTTACGATCATTTTCCTACGATCTTTTTCATACGATCAATTGCTTTACGATCTTTTGCTTACGATCTTTTTGTCGTACGATCTTTTACAACATACGATCTTTATCTTACGATCATTTTCGTACGATCTTTTGCATACGATCAATTGCTTTACGATCTTTTGCTTACGATCTTTTTACCGTACGATCTTTTACAACATACGATCTTTATCTTACGATCATTTTCGTACGATCTTTTTCCATACGATCTTTTGTCTTACGATCTTTTGTCACGTAATCAAAGGAAACAATATCAATATTAAGGAAACATAATCGATTTAGTCGTGTCGTGGAAACGTAGTGTGTCCTTTCCTCCATAGGCTTATAACAGGAGGCAGAACGTTAAACAAAACATCTATGTACGACACTTTCGTATTGTGACCTCCAGCGACCTGACCTCTGTGACCTGGCCTCAAATAGCAAAACATACGTTCTACGGACCATTCCCCATCGATGATTTTCACTAACATGCATTTTTCGATTTTACAACACATTTTTTGAAATGCCTGTAAAAGGTGAAAATTCAACTTTTGACCTGACCTGTGACGTCATCGGCTACACCGAGGTCAATGAAATTTGGTCACAAGGCAGTTCCGTGGTAGGGCTATCGAACGCTGTTTGAATTTTGAAAATCGGCCAACACTTTCCGAGATCATAGAGGGGCCAAAACGGACCCCCCCCCCCCCCCAAATTCAGATTCAGATTCAGATGTATTCGAATAAGGTCCACACAAAGCGGTGGCTTTTCGCTCAGTCACGTCATACGGTAAAACAAAATGGAAAGTATGACACACGCACACAATGACATATTCATCACCACAATTATACAAACACATCGAAACTGACCATCAGCGACTCGGACCCATCTGTGCTACATTCAGCAGCCTATAGCGACATAGTAACCCGCCTCAACGTAGCCTTAAATGCCGCTATGCCGGGCTCTATGCGCATGTCATTCATCGGGTGGTAGGGTCGCCGATAGCCCTACAGGGCGCAGGTTAATGTCCGAAGGGGCCCTTAAAGTTTGGTGACGATATCTGCACATCGAATATCGATAGAAAAGGAGAGAAGGCCGTTTCACTCCTCCCCACTACGGGGCGCGAGTTAAACTTCGCCAACTGCGAGACTTGGATGCAACTTCAGCACTATAATTGTTGGCATGGTTTTGGCATGGCCTTTCATAGCATACGGTCTCATGCGTTTTACTTGCCCATGATTATCCGTTGAAATTCCTTTAACCCGCGCACCGACGGGGGGCGGATATCCGCCCCCCTGAGGTTTTTCGCAAATAGCGGGAAAACCGCGGCGCGTAGCGCCGCGAAATTTGGTACGACTATTTCCTCATCAATTTTACACATGGTGTGCAAGTTTGAACCTCCTACCTTTCAAGGTCAGGTCACCAGGTCACTTTGAATGATCCAACCTCAAGTCACTTTTTTGCAACTTTGTCACCGTGCCAGAGCTACAGTAGATGTCGGAAGCCTTTGAAAGTCGCAGGATTTTATTAGGTCATTAGTAGCTACAATTTGCATATTTCGGAATTTTGATATCGGTGACCTAAGGTCAGGTCAATTTCGCGACCTCCCCATTATAAGTCAATGGGGGAAAAATCAACTCCCTGTTTTTACCACTAAAACGGGTCGGAATGGCCACATGTACCATACCTGACTTCATATACCATCAACCGACACTACCTTGAGGTCTGTTTTGCTGTTGGACAGCTGTGAGGTCATGTGACGTCATCAAAGGTCACCAAAGGGTTTTGGCCAATAACTCCGTACAGGAACAAGATGCAGCCGCGTGGATGATCTCATTGTGTTCAGCTCGTCAAGACGCATCGAATGATATACATGATGACCTCGAGGTCACGTGCCCTGAGGTCAACCTTTGACCTTGACCTTTCGAGGTCAACATATATCATTCGATGCGGATTGACGAGAGGATCACGATGATGCCCTTAGTTTGTTCCTATCTTGACTAATTCGAAAGTTATTCGAGAAAAACTCTCCATATCTAGCGCCGTCATTTTGACTTTTTTGACCCCTGTGACGTCATCTTTGACCTGACCTGAAAATGACCTTAGTAAAAATTGTAGATCTTGACCGTGCGTATCCGATGCCGTTTACCACTTGTCGCTATCTTGCTTCGTTCTCGAGATCTCAGGGGGCGGTCATCCGCCCCCCCCCCGTCGGTGCGAAGTTGGCGCAGACCCCCGTCGGTGCACGGGTTAAGACATGTTTACTTTAATGTTTACTTTAACCCGGCAGGCGGTGGGCCTACCAGCCACCTTCCGCGCGGTGGGGGGGCACTTTTTTGCCCCCCCCCCCCGTATCTCCGAAACTACTGGACGGATCCGGAAAATTCAAACGGCGTTCGATAGCCCTGTCAAATTTGTCGAGGGAAACCAAATTTCATTGACCTCGGGGTCACCGATGACGTCACAGGTCAGGTCAAAGATAAAATGTTTCACCGTTCACGGGGCTTCTAGGGAAAGCGCTATAACACCGAGTAAAACGCATTTTGTCGAAAATCAGCGATAAGGCGTCGGTTGTCTAGTACATATGTTGCTATTAGAGGTCA